ATGATAATTCTAGAAACGTTGCGTCACTGTAGTCATGTGACTCTCTGACGCAACAGTACACTAAGTCCGTAGCCTTTCCATTGTCTAGGTATAACAAGTAACTCCCTAAAAGCACAACAAACAAATTAGTAAAGAACGATTTTCATGTTAATTTTCTTTGATAATATCATATTTACAAAATTTATAAAGCTTCTTTTTTCAGATGCTATAATTTTCATGGCAACTCCTATCCCCCCCCCTAAAAATAGGAGTAACATTAGCAACTCTTGAATCCTCAGGCACCATCCTACTGTCTGTTGAGCTACAAAATGAAAGTGACAAGCTCATTTATCTGACCTTTGACCTCCTTTAAAAGCCTGGGGTAAGGGTTACAAATATTACTAACATCTAGAAGAAAACATTTAAAAACTCAGTTATCTCATAGTCTTGAACAAGAACCTATTCTTTAAAAGCCCAATCACCATTTGAACATTGTTTACCATTAACAAAATAACAATCAAAACATACAAATATGTGGACTCAATGCAAATTATGTGGTTGTTACGTCTCTGTTCGTTTGTTAATTTCCCGTAGAAATTCTTCCCGAGAAACTTTAGCGATATAAGTCCTTTCTTAAATAAAACGGGTTTATTCTTTCTGAATACAACTTTGCAATACACTTAATTTTCACAGTCACGCTATAACAAACGCTATAATTCACAACGAACGACTCACGTGCTCGACTCAACAATACGTCTCTCTCTGTCTGCAATTCAATTACACACCGTTGCCGTCACGTCTTGACCGTCTTATATGTACAAGAATACCGAAATCTAGTAAACGCTCGAGCATTCACGAACCTTCGAGAATATGACGTGTTACTAGAGTCACGTGACCACCGCTGTTGTAACACTAGTTTTATTTAAGAAAGGACTTGTATCGCTGAAGTACTTCGGAAATACCAGAGAGGTAACAATATCGTACTTTTCTACATTATATCTTTTACTTGAAAATGAGGATTCCTTATTCTTTTATATTACTTGATGTAAGTAAAATACTTTGCTTATCACAGTAAAGAAAGTAATTCTTCTAAATTTTAATATAACATTGTACATTTTAAATGCTACATATAGTAAAGCAAAACATGAACCTAACAATATGAAGCATTTATTAAACATTTTGAAATCTTCAGAATCCCATCTTCAGTAGTCTACAGGTACAAAACAAACACAATTGTAATTACAACAGAAATGTGATGTATTTCTAATACATAATATGTAAAGAAGTTGAATATAAAAAGTAGAACAAATGAAATAGTTGAATTCTCATTATACTTTTTATATTCAAATTCTTTACTTATAATGTATTAAAACTAGTATTATATTTCTTGAAGGATTGCCACTAGGTTTAACGCTTATGAATTAGATAAACTTGAAGGTGAAAGTTACTGGTTCTGAATGTTATGAGTTGTATTAATATATTTCTAAAGGAAAAGTCACTTTCTCACTCATATGAGCCATATGCACTGAAGGGTAAAATCATTAATTTTAACTCTCATGAGCCAAGAGTATAAATTTGAAAAGAAAAGCCATGTACTGACGCTGATGAGTCACATAAATAAATTTCAAGGAAAAGGTCACCCATACACATTTGAAGGGTAAAGCCAATGCTTCTAATTGTTATGAGTTACATTAATTCATTTGAATTTAATTATTATGAGTAAAATACAAGAGTAAAACAAATGGTTAAACATATTCTGAATTATACAATTATTTATTTACCTGGAGTTTACTGATGGTTTCAGATAAAAAAACATAAAAAAATACTCCATAGAGACAGATAACTTTTTCTTTGAATGAAGTGTAATAAATGATCCTATTTAACCTGGAACGTTTACTTTAACTGGATGGCTTCTTTTTTTTCTTTACAATTGTCAGACTTTTTTTCTGCTGCCCCAGAGTTGATCTCCTCTTCCACTCCTGTAATTCTCCACTTTTTGTCATAAAGGCCTAGGCCTTTGTCTTATGACTGAGAATGACATTTGGAGCCACATCGGAAGATCCAGTGGTTCAAGTCTTATACATGTCAAGATTTTTGCAACCTTGGAAGGATGTCATTGTCCTTGTTGGGACTTTGCTGGATCTTCTGGGATTCAAAAAATCGTAGTTCATTTTAAGCTCAGGATAGTTTTCTTTGGCACGTTTTGGTCCCACCAAAGAAATGTATGAATTTTATTGTAAACATGTTTGCTTCTTATATCCCTTAACAGGGCATTTAACAACTTGCTACTACTCCTCTGATGTACAGCCACCTTACCTATATGTTTACATCCAATTCATGTGTTTCAACAAATAAAAGTTTATATATTCTTATAGGAAACTTTGACACATACTCTGAACGTTAACAATCATTCAAGAT